ATATATCCACGGAGCCTAGGTTTAACCCCCCGATAATAGGATTCGCTCGAATCAAAGCAACACTTGATGTATTAGTGATATCAGTCTAACGTCTTACTCCTGATGGGGAATAAAGTCCTCTGTGTCAGGTGAGTTGCTCTTGAGTAAATGGGCATGGGATATGCTATGACCTTGGCATTCGAGCCATAAACACACTGAACTAAAATGAAGCACTACTTACTGCCCAGCGTTTGGAAGTCAATGTTATATGAAAACTGAGTGGTGGCGTGCACATAAGTGTATGTTGTATTCATGCATGGGCGTTCTGCTGTTTCCATTGCTTATTATTAGACCTTTTAGGCTGATAATCTAAAGTTTCTTCAAAACTTTATCACCGTCCCACAAAGCTTGCGTTAGCTCGATTCTGAGCTGATTACCATACTAACAACGCTCCGTTCTTCGAAGGTTGAGTTCGCCCGGCGACTTTCCCACGCATTAAATAACTTCCTGGTTTGCGCTTCGTGGAGAAATGCCAACCTAGACGGACTTGGACGTGAAGAAAGGCGGCAGGGTTTTCAGTCGGAGGCTCCGCTCGCCACCAGGCCACCCTTCTTGGATGGAGCCCCCGCTCCCAATAGACTAACAGGGGGTAGGAATAATGGCGCTCTCTTCCAATGGATTTGAGAAGCATCAGATGGGGGAAAGGCTGCGAGAGAGGAGCATGAGTGGCCAAATGAAATGGTGGATGTTGAAAAAAATGCAGAGAAGGAGTTGTGAGGTGGGGCAGGGCAGGGCAGAACACAAGAGTGGATGAGACCACTTCTTCCCTGGGTCTACTTTCTCCTGTCGAGAAGTCAGACAGAGAAGGAGGAACAAAACCCTGGCAAAGGCTGCCTCGCATTTCCGGGAGGAAGATGTGTGTGTGTGTGGGAGGAGATTCAGAAGCCACCAGAATCGGGCCCTGCTCGATTTCTCGAATTTGTTTAGATGGTCCATGCATCCCTCATTTTCCAGATCCTTCTGGATTTCACCTTTTCCTCTCCCCGTGAAATCTCAAATCTGTCTGCTTTTAGGAAAAATAACTCAAGTGTCCCAAGCCACTACTATATTACTTCTTATATGTGCCCCAATTTTTCTCAACGTCCCAGACAACAGGCTACCTTGGACTTCAGCTGTCAAGCTAAGCAGCTAACCGGCCAAGTTGTCAAGAAACTATCGGGATTGTGCACAAGTCTGAAATAGGCTGGCCTATACACACACGCGTCCTTCCTACATGATACGTTGAAAAATCAGGCTGATTTAAGTCAATGGGCACTGTAGCCCAAGATCAACAGTCATAGTCAACATGGGGGTCATGTTGGGTTATAATCCACATGACCATGGGGTCCAAAGGGAAGTGTGGCTAGGATTGCTGTCTAAGCGGGGGGGCGGGCAAGGAGCTTCGGAGGGGCTGGGCCCTTTAGTCCTTCCATTTCCGGATCTGTGAACCGCGGCAGAAGAAGATGCTAGCTGAGAACTTTTGTACGCTTCCTCCCGCGGCAGGCCTGAACAGCTTTGACCCCGGAGAAAATGTGCAGGAAAACCTCTCGCAGCCACGAGAAAGCCGACTTATTTGGTAAATAACATAACACGCGCCCGTTGCTCAAAAATGCGAGTCACACCTTCCCCTAAGTGTGAACGACCCAAGTGTGAACGACCCCTTACAAGTCCCCGTGGAAGTGAAAGGGTTCTTCGCAGTTTACTCAAGAGCAGAGATGTCGATAGCGCCTGACTTGGTTGTCCCCGAACCAGCATTGTTTAATCGTGGCTTATTGAAATAATCACAAGGTTTGCATCCACACGATCCGCTGAATCGTGATGCAGTTATTGGATTTTAGCTTTGCCGGCCTTGTGACGCCGGCTACTGCCGAAGCGCGCAGGGATTTGCTAGAAAATGGCCCTTTATCCCGATCGCCACGCAGACGCTAGTGATTCCCCCGGGGTCCCTTCAACGAAAACTAGTTACTTTAACTGAATTGCAGCCCGATCTTAGGCCCTGTGTCTGATGGAGCGCTGCAGCGCTGCCCTAACCCTAAATTCCCAGGAAAAATACGCCCCATGAAACGTTGGAGAAGCCCTTTTCCAGGAAAGCGAATTCGGCCTTCCATCACATTTTTGCTCCTATGGGAGATGACACCCGATCCACTTCTCCTGGGGATGATATCGAGGCAGTGGGATTTAGTGATGAGGAAGATCCCTGGGAATGGCATTTATAACGTGGGACATCTTTCTGCAGAACAAATAGAACTCGAGTGTTTCATTCAGGGTAATTAGCATCAAGGATAACAAATGTGGAAGCAAAAAAAGCTATCCCCCCCCCCCGGAAAGAAACTCTTCGATTTTCTTAACTTACCAACCTCTCCAGTCAGAAGGAAAAGGCATACAAGTAAGTAGAATTAGATTTACCCCTAAGGTTGTGCATCAGGAAGAAATTATCAAGGGAACCTATGGATTTATTTTCTGGAACTGAGACTTGCAGCATAGGATTGCATTGTGCTTTTAAAAACTGTTTGAGGAATTTTTGAACCCTGCTGTAAAATAGCATAGGTTTTTTTTTTCTGCGGAGGAAAAACATGATCCAAAGAGATCGGAAAGATCGGATTTTGAAAATCAGGAATATAAATGTGGGGATGAAGGGCCGGACCTCTAAAAGTTTGCAGAAAGTAATATGTAAGTAACACACACTTAAACACACAGAAATCAGGAATCACAAGAAGATAAAAGAAGGGGAAAATAAATTTGAAAAGGTAGAATGGCACTATTGATTTAATAGGATCAGGAACAAAAGTTGTGCGAAACCATCAATTAAAATTTTACTTTCTCGGTTTTTTTTTTTTTCATTCAATAGATTGCAAAGTGTCTTAATTCATAACTTGGCACTTATTGAAAACGGTGACGTCGACAATGAACAAACAAAAGCGAAGCAAACCTGAGTGGAACAAACTCTCGTGCCGACAACACGGAAATAAAATATCAGCGTTTTTCTTTCTTCTTGGCCACTTTGTTTTTTTTCTTTTCCCCTCCTCAATAACTTAAAATACACTAGAAAAAATACGGTCATTATAAATAATTTGTTTTGTTTTGTTTTCATGGAGAACAAATAATTATAAAGCTCTGTTCCTAGCAGAGTTCAATGACAAAGAGATTTCTCTCCCCTCTCGGTTTCATTTTCTTGGCAAAAAGAGAGCGCACAGCTCTGGCTTGGAGCGAACGGACGGACCGGCTACTTCGCGGTCGCTCAAATTACCGCTATATATATATATTTATATTTATATTTATATTTCTTCAGAAAAGAAAAAAAAATACATTGATATAGATTATGTAACGTCACAAGGTTACGGGAATGGATGCACCTTGATGAGATCGGATTCGAAAGGTTTGACGGAACACTCAACTCACCAATGATTTACCATCGCCGAAATAAATGCTTTTGTGCACCAATATCTTGCCTTTTAAAAAATATACTTCGTACCCCCTGCCAGTGTTAAGAGGTGGCCTTACGGATGGCCGTGGATACCCTTCCGTCCGTACAGCGCAGAGAAAAGAGGAGGAAGACACCCAAGGTTACTGGAAATCCGACAGCCAAACAAGCTTCACCCGAGAAACAAGCTAACATAAAAATCCCATTGAAATCAATGGGATGAGAAGTGCTGGCCACGGATCCCGTTGATCTCAATGAGAGGTTGTGAAAATGTAGACAACCTGGGCGTGGGGCTGGGGGGGGGTCCGAAATTTATAACACAATCGCGGCTTTATTAGAATTTCTCTTTTCTAGAACTCTTAAAGGAGACTGGATGTTTGAACCAAAGGCAGGGATGGGGCAAACAGAATCCAAGGAAACGTGATTCTTGCCGTACGTTTTGGAAAACAGTCAATAAAACCTATCGCGGGGGTGTCTGCAAGGTATGGTTTAAAAAGTCAACATGGCGGCCTGTAGAAGGCGGGCGGGCCTTCGATTGCACTCCCGCGGCCATTTTGACTTTTTTGACCTACTCTTCGGACACCCCGATTTATCCCCAAGCCAAAGATCAGGGGAGTCTTAAGCGACCACGGCTGGAGTACTAATTGGGGGTCGGGGATGTCTCAAACATGGCCCATTGATTTCTCGGCCTCTCTTTAACCCCTCAAGTCGGCGCGGTGAGTGAGCTTCTTTCACTGACGGGCTTCATTTCTCCTCCAAGATTTCAGACGTGATGCAAAACAAGGGACGCCAAGAAGTTTTTTTTTAAAAAAAATCAACCGAACCCCATGCAGACCCGGAACAGTCCTAACAAAATATTCCGACTTAAAGTTTTAGCGTTGGGAAAAGGGGGAGAGAAAGAAATCGTGCGTCTTTTCTTCCCCTTTATTATCCTCCCTTCCTCCCCCCCCTCCCGCGATTTTTTTTTAATCTTTCCTCCCCCGTCTCCGCTTCTATAGTTCGTTAGCTGCTCGAGCTTATCAAGCATCAGATGCAACGTGAAAGGGAGGCCCGCCTCTCTTCTCCACCGTCTCGCATTCGAGTGAACTTCGCAGGAAAAGGGTCACTTTCAAAACCTGTGAACTTCCCAGCTGCGCGTCTATACGCAGTTCTGCTAACTCTTTAAATAGGCCTCGCTCTTCCCTCCATTTTACGAGGGAGCGGCCTGTCGTCGTCGTCGTCCTTTCCTCCTCGTATGTCAGTGGGAGCAGAAGGCTTTGCCCCAACTCCCTCGGTCAAAGAAGCAAGCGGTTTCCTCGGAAGGCTCTCCCGCCCCACCGCTGCGTCGGGCCGGCGGGGCCCGGATGGGTCTCGGCGGCTGGAGGCTGTCCTCGGAGGCTCCTTCACCTTGGAAGGCGCGCAGGCGCGGGCGGCTCAGCCCGCCCCGAAGCCTCGCTCCGGCGGCGCCGAGGTCGGCCTCTGTTGAAGGCGGAGCGCGGGAGGGCGTCTCTCCGGAGAGCCCGCCCCGGGGGCCTCGCGCTGCCTGCCGTGGGATGGCCCCGCGCCCGTCGGGGCCGAAGAGTCACAGGCCCAGCGCGGCCGCGTGCTTTTTGGCTTTGAGTCTGAGGTCCGCGATGCTCGAGTTCTTGCTGGTGGTCTTGGCCGCCGCGGCCGCGGCCACCACCGAAGCGGCCGAGGCAGACTCCGCCGCCAGGGTGGCCAAGGGCAGGCCGAAGGGCGGGGCCGGGAACATCATGTAGGGCGCGTGCGCCGCCAGGTGCGGGTGGAGGTGGTGGTGCGCGTGCGCCACGGCGCTGTCCAGCTGCAGCTGTGCCTGCACCTGAAAGGACAAGGGCGTCACGTTGCAATGACTATCCTAAAAGGTGTAACGAGAATGGAGAGAGACAAGAGCGTTAACGGACCGCCCAGCCATCGCCCCCTCCCCCGCCCTTCAGTGCGCGTGCACCCACTCGCCCCGCTTCTCTGGGGGCCTGGGGGGGGGGAAGGGAGAAGTTAGCTGACTTGGTAGGGCTTGCCCTGGGTCAGGGGTAGGCAACCTTGGCTCTTTTATGACTCGTGGACTTCAAGTCCCAGAATTCCTGAGCCAGCATAGCTGGCTCAGGAATTCTGGGACTTGAAGTCCACGAGTCATAAAAGAGCCAAGGTTGCCTACCCCTGCCCTGGGTAAACAGTGACCTTCAGCCCCATCAAAAGGGCTAGTTTATGCCTTAGCATGGGTGAACCCAACGAGGTGTTTGCTCGTTTATTAAACCATGCATCGGTGTGATGTACAAACCAGGTTGCCACCTCATTAAGCGCTGTTTACAAATTGCAGCGCCAAAGTTCACACAACAGGGAAAGCCGAGGCTAAACAAATGATATTATGGCACTAGGTGACCTGGACCTCAGATACAGAGAGGCATAGAGTGTATCTCTCCCTCTCCCCCTCTCTCCTGGTTTTTGGAAAGAACAAGAAGAGAGGAGGAAAAATGAAAATGAGAAAAACCACTGCCTTTCCTAAATTCCACCTTTTTATCTGTAACCGAAGCACTGAACAAGTTGTGCAGAGTGCTGTGTTTACATTTTCTCCCAAAGGGTTAATTCCTAAAAATTGTGTAGTGGTGGTAGTAGGGGAGTTGAAGTTCAGTTCAGAAGCTTGCCTGGAATTAGCTATCAGATGGAAAACTCATAATATATTTCATTGGGAATTAGCCCCATTGAATAAAAGCCCCGCTTCTAAGTAATGCATGCATAACATTTATAGGTTGCATTGGTACAACCTCAAAGCTGGAAGAGGCAGCATTTAATGGGGCTTGCTCTTAAGCAGACGTTTTTACGGCTTTACATCTATCTGTTTTAGCAAACTCTTCAAGCTACTCACAACATGAAACCTCCAAGTCATCACATTCAGAAAAGCACAATAAGAGCACCTGAAGTAAATGGCAAGATTGCAGAAATGCTCTCACAGTACTTGGCTGAGTCTCAAAACAGGTACATAACATCCATAACAACAGGCCAAGGCTGTTTTGAGCTTTTGCATAGTAGGCCCCTAAATATTCGAAGACAGGCTCCAAAGAAACAGCTTTCTCCCTAGCTGGAGTAAATGATGTGAACAGCTAGTACAGTCTTTAGACAAGCAGTCACCAGAGTGACTATCATCTAGTCAAGGATGAGCCAAGAAGAGAAGAAAAAAGCTCAGCTTTCAGAATAAAAAGGGCTGGGGAGTTAAAACAGATCTAGTGCCATGAAATAATCTATTCATTTCTTCTTTCCTAGGATCATGTATCATGCTAAACCTAAACCCTTATTAGCAAAACACAATTAGTGGCCCATGTAACATCAAGTCAAATGAATTTTGTGGCAGCTTTGTGACAGTCTGGTTAATGTCACATGCTCCAACCATGCTCTTTTGTTTCAAGGCTGAGTAGTACAGAAGCATGCCTGAGCCTTGTTTAATATTATGTTTAGCGGTGGAGGGTTTTGGGGGGGAGGCGTTAAAGAAAGCTTTAAATGTTTGCGGGGGTGTCATCCTTTCTTATTATCCAAGATGCAGGATGGACAGGAACGCGGACTGCCTGAACTCAAAAGCGCATTGCTGCATTGATTGGTTTCTTCTGCTGATGGATTTGCTGCATCTTGCATTGATTGACTGGCCTGTCTGCTTATATATGTTTGTTACACATTTTAGGAATAAAAAATGTTGGTTTAGAGCTTCTGGTGGGTTACTATTAGTATTTTATTCCTGTGGCAGCTGTCAAATGGTATATGCACAAATTGGCTAAAATGTACTTAATTGTCTTCCTAGCTATTAAACCTTAGGCTTCTGATTCTAATAACTGTGCTTGGTTGGTATTGTGACTATCCAGTCTGAATTTGTTTTTTCAAAATACTTTTAATATGGGGAAATTATGTGTCCTGCTAATTCTTAATTCATGCATATTATGGCAATATTTAGGCTGTTTAAATATTATTGAGTTGAGTACTGCAACCCTAAATAACATCAAGCAGATAGGTACAAGTCCCAATACTATACTTGTATCTCTTGTCTTTTCTCTGAATTGTCTAAGGCAGGGGTGTCAAACTGCCGGCCCAGAAGCAGGATGTATCATGCCGAAACTTCACATCACGTGACGCTGCGAGTTTGACACCCCTGGTCTAAGGGCTGTAGATATTTATAGTTCTCAATCATTATTTGCTCTGAATTTTGTAAAAGTATGATTTACACAGATTCTAACTATAACTATTTGGAGCTTTAAAGAAGTTTGCTATGTTGTTATGAGTATCATGGATACCAGCCACCTTATTTAGATAGAGTTTTTCCTTCTGACTCATCTAAGAACATTTAATTCTATACAAAAGGCCTGAAAATCAAAATCTATGCATATTCAATAAAAAAAATTAGGCATTGAACTTCATGTATATTGAATTAAGCCTGTTTTTCCTAACTTTGTACTGACTGTTCTGTTCAATCTACATCTAGCAGAATTCCCACCAGGAATTCTGTGCTGCCTGGGAATTCTGGAAAATGTAGTCCAATCACATTTAGAGGGTGCCCGGTTAGGAAAGGCTGAATGACGGTTTGAAAAGAATGATGTGTCCACAACTATTTATTGGGTGTGCACCACCTAAAGTATACCATTACTAGCAGCAAACCTGAGGAGTACAACTTTAGTTTGGACACAGCACAAGTCATTAAAAACCTTCTGGCTTTATGGCTCCAAGATGCTATTTCTAATACATCCATTATAAATCCCCTTGAAATCAACTAGAGTTATTTCCAAGTAATGGCCATAATTTAGAGACAGAAGCCAGAAATCAATGTCATAAGATGATCAACTAGGCTGGGCAAGAGTCCAACATGTTTAGAAACAGGGTTGTCAGGCTTGCCTTCATTGACCAATCATAGATAGTTTAAAAGGGAATTTCCAAGAGAAAAAGAAATTATATGGGCTTTTAAAAAGCACACTGAACACTATTTTCAGTAAACAGCAAGAATATAAATTAAACTATTTAAAATAGAATTCTATCTGTAAAGCTATGTCAATTGTGATTTTTTTTGTTTAATCCTGCAAAGATTATTCTACCAAATTTAAGATATGTGTATTCAGTCTTGATGCCTGTTCTTGTATCCAGTGTGAATAACAGTGATCCATAGCAAAACTCAATTCTTTGGAGTGAGCACTCTGTGACTGCATCAACAGTTGCCTTCCTAAATGGCCTTACTAGAGCTTCACTGCATTAAATTCATTGGACTTTATCTGATTAAACATGCCTGGTTCACGCAGAGATTGTTCCTTCCAAAAGTTATCTGCAAGTAAAACTTCATTGAACACATAGTTCTCCAGGTAATATGGCTAAAAAAGGTCCTGGATCTCAGGCTTATGTCCTGAATGAACTTGCCAAATTTGGCTTCACAACTTTGGCATCTTTCCAGATCCCTGATTGCTCTATTATTCCAATCCAGCCTCCTGGTTCCTTGAGATTACAGCCATGAGAACTGGATCCTAGCAAGATCAAAGCAGGGAATAAAGCTTTTTTTTTTTTTTTCATTTCAAGAGCTTTCCACGGCAAACCTGAGTACCCTGGCAGGGCAATTAAATGCTGAACGTTTCAATAAAATCGTGCAATAGGTTGGGACGTTGTGCAGATCTGCCACAGATGCAGGGAAGACTTGTTCTCACCCACTACATACAGTTATCTCCCTTCCCCCTGCAGAAGGAGATTGCTGGCATTTGCTTTCAGCAAAAAAAAAGTGTCCAGAGCTTCTGTCTCCAAGGAGCAAAATGGAGAGAACTACAGGAAAGGAATGGGAGCTACTGTAGCTCCATGTCTCAAAGGATGCGCAAGACTGGCCCTCTACTTGCCTGCTGGAAAGGCATCCGCAAAGCACCAACATTCACGTAGGGAGCAACTCGGCATGCTTCAAACTGGCTTGCTGCTCCAATGAGAACCCCTGAAACAAAGAAGAATTGAATCAAGGTCTATTTTTATCCTCAGAGTCTCCCAGTCATAATAGGGAGAGAGAATCAGAACTTGAAGATATTAAACTAAAATGATTAGTGCCTGCATTTAGGCCATTTGGGCTCAGGTGCAAGACAAAAATGATTTTTTTTTCTGATTTCCCCTATCTACAGTCCTGGACTGCTCCTCTTGATGCTATTCCAAGTAGAACCATCCTATGTACTTTTGCACTGAAGGAAGTCCTCTTTTACCCCATGAAGTCAGGCTGATAAATGTGCACAAAACTGCAATGTTAGGAACACTCAATAGAAATTATAGCACCCAAGCCAGGCAAGAGCTCAGTAATTAAAGGCATGTCTATGGCAAAAGCCCCTTTGGCTCTATTTCACATACGTACCTTTATGGAGCTGGTTTTCTTGCTTTCTGCATTTAGCTCTTCTGTTCTGAAACCAGACCTGGGCAGACAATCAGGGAGAAAAGAAAACAAGTCAATATAAAGCCACAACTATATATATTAAGTGATCTCTCTGATGCCATGTTTATTACAGGAAAGTTGCATTGTGTAAGCAGATATTCTTCTTCCCTCCCTATTTGCTATACCCAGCCCTATTCCATCAAATCTGCACCAGATCTTTTTCTTGGGTGCACACTGCAATTATTTGTCCAACTTTGGCCTCTCCTCAGGCTGGCTGATCTAACAGTAAATCCCATGAAACACAGCTGCATTCCTTTTTTTAATAAGCCTGGGTATGATTGCATCACAAGGATCATCAGTCAACTGTAACATCTTGCCTTACAAATGTTGGAAGTACAACAGTAAATATTTCTGAGTCTCCCTTCAACTACCTCCAAATTGCACAGGATGGAATGAGGCACTCTCCTTCACAATTAACTAGATTCTGTATATGTATCAAAGTTCAGTTGTTGCTATGGTCCCAAAAGCATCTTCACCATTAGAAAGGCACAGTTCTCACTCCTACTTTTCTAGGAAGTATTTAGTTTGGACTGTTTCTGTTCTATATTTAAACCAACTAACTGATCTAGATTGAAAAAGCCATTTAAATGTCTTTTTGAGAAACTTATCTCATTTTCAGACATTGCAGTTATCAAATGTGTATCATGCACGTTACACATTTTAGAACTTTTAGTAACTTATTTAAGAAATAATACAGTAAAAGTTCTGTCACACATATGCTAAGCATTGTAAAATGCATCAATAAACTGGTTTGTAATCACACATACAGTTTATGAGACTCTTTCTCAATAAATCTGAAGCCTGTTGAAATGAAAACTAGTTTTACATTTTCATATTTCAGTTAAAACTAGACTTGAATCTTAAAGCATAGATGGTGGCAGAAAATATTTCCAATAGTTTGGAAGCAAGCCCTATTCCTCAAAAGAAATTTATCCCAAGTAAACGCTGATAGATTGAAATTTTCTTCTGTAAAATCAATGGGTCTTACTTCCCTTCTGAGTGAAATGTATTTCATCTCAGGCCTGCTAAGCACTTTAATGCTGTAACCCAATACAGATTCACTGGGGATTGATCCTATTGTGCTCAGTAAGTCCTGTCTCCTAGAAGATGTGTCTAGATGTCTGCTGTAAGTCCCATGATTTTCAACTGGGAGAGAGTGAGGTTTATTTCCTTCACTCAGTTTTCTGGAAGTGCCTCTGTAGTCAATTGACCTTATTTCTGAGTAAATGTTGTTGGTAAATCTATTAAACACTTTACACAAAATGTGGAAATAAGAGAAAGTAAAATGGGTGAATTTAACTGGGTGATTTTATATTTTTGAAAAAAGAGTCTTCCAGAGAAAGCTACTTAAATTCCAATCTGAGATTCAGATACATATGGTATGATCAAATATTAAAAATTGGGTTATCGTGCAAGAAGCTCATTTGGATGGAGCAGAAGAGAAATTTCTTTGGACTCTAAAACCAGGGAGGGCAGAAAGGAAACAGGAATGCATGGGACGTTCCCCAAGAGGATGAGTTGAAAACTCTCCAGATTTTAACAAAAGCAATAGAGTCTTATGATGCTTTTAAGGTTAAGAACTTTATTATGACATAAATTTTCAAGCATCACAAACTATCAGAGTGCCATAATAACTATTCTATAAGACTTTCAGATGCCATAACACTATTAAAGTCTACAGTAGATAAATGCACTGACCCTCAGTTGAACAATAGAAGCCATGATATTTTTTTTCTTTCCAAATTTAGTGGTGGTAAAAAGAAGAGTTTGGAATTAAAACAGGACAAAGGGGACCTGAGCTGATGGCTTTATCCTAGTGAAAACAAATTCCTAGGTTCAGAATGTATAACTAGATATTTTTAGGGCCTAAATGGAAATACAGTATCTTAGAAGAAGCGGGACTTTGGATAGCCACATGCATGATTTCATTTGTGATGTATGAAGTAAACATTTTGCTGTTGGATACAAGAAACATAGATGTAGATACTGAATATGTAATGACTACAAGAGGTTACTAGATTCATATCCAATTGATCAGTCCCAGAAGGTGAGACCTTAGGTGCCCATTGTTTGTTTATTATTTGAAGGTGAGACCATTGGAAGATGGGGGGAGGGGTTAATATCTAAACTGGGAAGTTAAAACAATCTTGGAAAAAAGCACTGGCAAACCAGATTTATACTGTTCCAAAAACCAAGACGGACATTTGTAGTGGAGGCCTGATTAGCAGGTCTTTGGGTTATCAAAACCTAAAAGTCTAAATCTGTGTCTCCCTGCTCCTTCCTATCCCACAGCTTAGCAAAGGAGAATTACTATCTCTGCTGATTCTCCTGCCAATACAGTCTTATCTTTGCAGAAACATCCCTGCTGAACTTCTCTATTTGACCTAACTCTGAAAGTTTGAAATTGGATCAAGGGTTTTGGATATTTGCACAAAATACAAAAATATATATCTATAAAACTCAAAAAGGAATGAGCTCATTAAAAGCTAGTTGTATTGATTAGCTTTCTCTGCAAGAAAAACAAAACACCAAAGCATTTAATTACAAACTTTGAGGTGGAGGGTCATAAAAGTGTCATAATAAAGAAGTTGAGAAATGCTCTCTCTCTGGGGACTAGCATGCAATACAGAAGCAGAATAATGATCTCATTATTATGATAATCTTGTTTGTTCCCATATTAGGGGAGGGGGGGAATAGAAAATGTTAAAACAGCTCCACAGCAAGCAAGATGTCATTTCTGTCTATATTAAAGCAAGAAAAAGTTTTAAAAGCATGAAGGAGAATAAAGTTGGTACTTTACCCCTTAATAAATTTGGACTGCCTGATCCTATATCTATTCTCGCCCCCCCCCCCCGCCATCCCACACATACTCTGAAGAGTTCAAAAGAACTTACTATGAAAATCCATTTAATTCAGAAGGACTAACATTTGAGCAAAGGCTTAAAAGTGAATTGCCTAATTTCTTTAGAGAGTTCTACCTTAAATTGGTTGGATTCCAGGCTTTAGTGCATAAAGGGAGAGGGTAAGAAGGTAGGAGTGACCGAAACCTGCTGTCCTTCAAAGGGAAAAGAATCTCACTGGAGATTTTCTTTGAAAAAGGAAGGAGTGAGTTTCAAAAGAAATGGGCTGATGTCTGCACACCTAGAACCCACCTTAGGATACATTGAGATGAACCAAGTGCTCTAGACCAGAGATCCCCAGCCTTTTGGGCACCAGGGACCAATTCTGTGGAGAGAGGTTTTTCCACTGGACCGGAGGGGTGCGTGGTTTTGTGCGCTCCCTGCATCTCACAGGTGGTCCATGGATGGGAGAGGGGGTTGGGGACCCCTGCTCTAGACCTAACCTTATTCAGGGTACTGCCTATTAGCTTTAAGGAAATAGACATGTAAGCCGACTCTGGGATGGCCTGTGAAAGATGCTGTTTTGTTTTCAGAGAGTTGCTAGCAAGAGATTCTAGGGTTCCAGGCTAAAGCTACCGTTCCTGCTACCTTTTCCTGGACAACAGCTACTGAGCAAAAGTGGCAAAGAAGTCCAATCTGCCCACTTCCTGGATACACGTCCCGTCTGACTTCATGTGACCTGTTTCCAGAGAACTCCATGTAGTTGCTGCATTAAAGCAATTGGATCCTGTGCAGCTACACGAACCAGCAAAACCTCAAGGACACCTCTCAAATATCTTTACTCAGGAATAAGCCCACCAGCATCTAAGGCATTTCTTCTGTATGAACCTGAGCAGGAGTAGGTCTGGAGACTGGGATTTTGGTTTCCGGTATTCTCACACTAGCTAGCAAGCTCTTCGTCCTGCCATCTGCCAAGGAGAACCAGGCAGGAAAGGATGCTTAAACCCAACTCACGGGCATTTTATGGGGCCATTTTAAAGGATCCAGACTCTAATCAATGCAAATCTCTGGAAGTTCTTCTCTATGGATTATACCAAGCGCCAGTTATTCTTTTGTTAAGGCAATCTCCCTACTCTGGAAGCAAGCAGCCTTTAATTCCTCCCACTTCTCTCTCTCTCTCTGTCTCTCTCTGTCTCTCTCTCTCTCTCTCTCTCTTTTCTTCCTTTTAGACCTACTACTCAAAATACAGGCACCCATATTTATCTAAACAACAGTGCAGACAAATGGAAAATCAGAAAGGAGTAACAAGGGCAAGCAAAGAAAGGATAATTTTTTCCCTTCCAACTTTATAGCTAAAAAAACCCAAAAAAACAGAACAAACTCTATGCTCCTGCCCCCCCCCCCCCACATTTGATTTTTTTTTCCCTGCCTTTGCTGCAACTCAACTGTTCAGATTCTGGCTTGATCCGATTACAAGATGCAGAGAAAGCCTTTCAAAACTGGAGCCTGGTTTGGTGCAGATGGCAGCCCATGTCGGCAAGATGGAGGGGAAAGTATCAGTTACTCTGTGAGCAGCTGCAGATGTTCAAGGCCTAAAAACGGCTCCTTGGGATCACACAAAGGAGGGTTGATTTTCCTGGGGAATCATGGCAGATAGAGATGTACAGTGTCTAACACTGAACAAACTACTCTGGCTTTTGCTTGCCAGCGTCTTGGGAGGGAAGGAGCCAGCTTACAAAACTTTGGCTCAGGGACCTCTAGGGAAAATTCGGAAGGTGTAAGAAAAGAGGGGGGGGGAAATCTCCAAAACAGATTTTTTTTAAAGAAAGAAAGAAAGAAACCCTGCTTGCACCCTCTAAACTGAGCAGTGTATAACTCTTCCTTTCCATTCACCTTTCTTTGGGGGGGGGGGGATGTTTAAAATTGCTTACAAGGAAGGAAGCTGTAAATACACTTTAAATACACATCCAATTTCCTGTTTTAGACTTTTTTTAAAAAAAGATGTGTGTGTGTGTGTGTGTGTGTATACCTATATAATAGCTAGCCCAGTATACACTTTGGTACAGGGGCCGTATACATTTTTCCAAGTGGAAAGATTAGCCTGATATAATTTAAAACCTGAAATGATAGAACTGAAGCCATGGAAAAGATCTTATTTGAGTTCCACGCACAGTGGCTGTCTTCACACGAACTAAATTGTGGTTTGCTGAACCGACCTTTATTTGATTTAACCCAGTTGCCCTGAGGTCGCACACACTAAACCCTACTCAATGGCTGGTCATTTTCACACATGGAGTCACAACTCGGCTAGCCTAGCCTGCAATTGGAAGCTCAGCCCAGCATGAAACCTGGTTTGCCTTGCCATCTCTCTCTCTCTCACACACAGACAACCTCTGACTGTATTTGCCCCAGTGGCTTACCCTCCGTCGTTTGTTTTGCTTGGGATCAGCACCTCGTGCAACTCCAGCCAATTGTGGCTTGTTCCACAAGCCCCGACTGAGCAACCCAGCCTTGGTAGCAACAACAGTAGAGGTTAGAAAGTGGAGAAGGTGGCTTGTCGGCAGGACAATAGAAGCAAGATTTTCAAAACCATTTAATACGTTTTTCCTCGGGTAGCCGGCGGGGGGGGGAGAACAACCTGACTTCGTCCCACGCCAGGTGAAGCCTGATTTGAATGTCTCCTCCTCCCCACGCTCCACCAAACCTGCAGCAAGCAGATTGCAGGAACTCAGTACTGAGGCCTCTCGGCCCCCTCCCCCACCCCCGGGTTCAAAGACGAGATCGGAGCTCCGGAAGGCGCCCGGCGTGTCGAGGGAGAGCTCCCTTATTCTGAGCCGTGTTTAAGGGTGGGTGGATTTAACCCACGACCAGTGCAGTTACCTTCGTTTCTTTTTTTTAAAAAAAAAAACAAACCCCGATCCAGACCTGCTGGATCCTCTAAGCGGACGCCCCGTCCCGGCAACGGATCTCCCTCCCTAGCCGAAGCGTCTTTGGAAAGGGCTCCAGAGCCCTTAGGAACTTTTCCTTCCTTCTGGAATGACCAGGGCTCCTCTTCCGCGGGGAGCCCCCGCAGTGCTAGGGTTGCCAGGTGTCCCACTATTTGAGTGGACAGTCCGCTTTTTTCCACATTATGTTCGCTATTTTTATTTTTTTTTCACAAAATAGTGGACTTTTTTTTTTTTTAATTCAAAAGCTTTACGATGAAATGGCACGTAATCTAAAGCTGTACAGTCTACTTTTTTTTTTTTTACTACTTAACCCCCCCACCCACCCAGCTTGTCCGCTATTTTTTGGGAAGCAGACCTGGCAACCCTAGGGCCCCGCACCCACTCGCGGGTCCCGGGCTCCCGGCCAAAGCAAAGGGCTCGGCGGGGAACGGGGGGGGGGTGGTAACCCTCTCACCTAGGACTGGCCTAGGGTAATTTTTAGAGGGGTTTTAATTATATTTTAAATCGGACAATCTTTAAATATTTCTTTTAATTAATTTTAAATTTGTATTGTTATTTATGTATTTTAATTGATTGTCAGCCGCCCGGAGTCCTACGAGGAGAAGGGCGGGATATAAATCTAAATAATAAATAAATAAATAATAAATATTCCACCCTACAATGAAACCAGCCGGGATCCAAAAGGAGGGTCCGCCGGCACCCAGGTTCCCAAACGCCCCCCCCCCCGCGTCGGCGCTGGGGCTCCGGGATGCTCCAGAGGCAGATCGCCGGCAGCCCCGCGTCCAGAAGCGGCTAGTCCAGGGGTAGGGCAACCTTGGCTCTTTTATGACTCGTGGACTTCAACTCCCAGAATTCCCGAGCCAGCACAGCATTTCTAAAGGACGCCAGCAGGACATTCCTATAAATCCTTGCTCAGAAGTAATTGCACTGAAACCAGTAGGGTTTACTTCTAGAGCAGGGGTAGGGCAATCTTGGCTCTTTTATGACTCGTGGACTTCAACTCCCAGAATTCCCGAGCCAGCACAGCATTTCTAAAGGACGCCAGCAGGACATTCCTATAAATCCTTGCTCAGAAGTAATTACACTTAAACCAGTAGAGCAGGGGTAGGCAACCTTGGCTCTTTTATGACTCGTGGACTTCAACTCCCAGAATTCCCGAGCCAGCTATGCTGGCTCGGGAATTCTGGGAGTTGAAGTCCACGAGTCATAAAAGAGCCAAGGTTGCCTACCCCTGGGCTAGTCGGAGGAAAGCGTGGTTTTTTCATCCCCCCCCTTCCCCCTTTCCCCCTTCCCAACCCCGGCCAGCGGCGGGCCTGACCTGCACCCGGGCTTCCGACAGTCCCAGCCGCTGGCTGAGCTCCTCCCGCATGAAGGCGTCCGGGTAGTGGGTCTCGTCGAACAGGCGCTCCAGCTCGTTCAGCTGCTCCAAGGTGAAATTGGTGCGACTCCGCCGCTGCTTGATTTTCGTCTGCCCTTCGTCTTCCATCGCTTTGGCATCCTCTTTGCGCTCTTTCAGCTCCGGCGAAACTGGGGGGGGGGGGGGGGCGAGGCGAAATAAAGGCGATCAGAGCCGCCTGCCGGACCTTCTCCCCGGAGCACCAGGCCTGCTCTGATCNTTCCCCCCCCCCCCCCTCGCCCCAAGCCTTCAATAAGTCCCATGGATTTCAGCGGGAGAATTAAAGCCTTTATGGGGGAAGGGAGCTGAACTCGATGGGACTTGTTTCTTGTTCAGCAAAGGGTTTCTTCTTCTTTGTAGCGCAGTCCAATCCAAGCCTTCTCCAAGGTATCTTGGAGAAGGTTTGGGTTGGACTGCGCTACAAAGAAGAAGAAAGCCCTGGTGCTTTAGAAGTTTAGAGACTTGTAGCCCAGGGTCTCAATCGAATTAGACGGAAATAAGATATTCTCTTTCTCCCTCCCTCTCTCTCTCTCTCTCTCTCTCTCTGTCTCTCTGTCTCTCTCTCTCTCTCTCTCTCTCTCTCCCACACACACACACACCGGATTTTCTTTCCCTCTAAGGCTTTCTTAGCAATATTTAGGAAAACACCCGAGTTCTGCAGTTGGATCCGAAGGTGCCTGTCGTTTGCCCCAATAAACCCCAACCCTCTGCAGAACAGAGGCCCAAAGGGGTTTAAAAAACTGAATTTAAAAAGACGTATACGTCTTTTCTTTTAGACTTAAAAGACCAAATCTTTGGGTGTGGGAAGAGGATCTGAAGAATGATTGGATCGGAGAGGAAAAGATTTACCCCGAAAAAAATCTGAGCCGTCGTTGGGGGTGGAGGAATCTTTCGGGTTCTGGACACACGCACCCCTCCCCAGAAACACTCCACTGAGGCCCTTCTGAGACCGGGTGGCTCTTTGGGAAGGGAACTCAACTCCGACGCGCGTTGGAAGCTACCTAGGCCGCCTGGCTTTTCAAGGCTGGCCGGTTTTCGAGAAATCCTCGCGGCAGGTGCGGGGGAGAGGGGCGGCATCCGCCACATGCAATCTTTCCTCGGATCCCGCTTAAACCTCCCGACGATTTATTTGGGGAAGTTAAAAAATATCCTTGGCTTTGTTTGCGAAGAGAAACAGAAAAATACCCCTTGGAAAACGAAATCATTGGAATAACCACTGGGTCCTATTTGGATGTCTAAATTGCATCTCACTCCATTTGCTTCCTCTTTGTCCCCCCCCCTTCCCCGTTACAGATGAAAATGAAAACTGATCCACGCAGGGAATTTGGAAGTTTATACATTCCTGCAACAAAGGCCTGCTGCCATTAATTATAACGAGAGGGTCGATCTTAATCTTTCCCTCTTATTCCGTTTTTCGCCTCTACAGCCGTCCGCGCACAGACACAAACCCTTCACTTTGGCTACCAGGCCCGGCTTTTCCTTGCCCGAGCCACGCTATATCTAGCCACACTGGGGGGGGGGGGGGCTTTCCCAATTAAAAGACCTGGTTTCTCCCTTTTCCCTGGGACGGTTTGCCCATCGCCCCGCCGAAGTTTCTTTACCGCAATTGCGCTTCCCTCTCTAAGCCTATTCGGAATTTGTTTAGCAAATCATTTCCGGCTCAGATTTTCAACCCAGTTCCGATCTGGAAGGAGCTACTTTCGTTAAACAAACGGGTTGAAAAAACGCCCCCACCTCTCCCCTCCGCGAACATGGCACTCGCTGACTCAAACCACACACAGATATTCAAATATACTTGAAAGCCACAGAGTTCTTTGGGTAAGCAAAGAAGGGAGGACTATGGCCCTGTGTAAGATTCATTTCTCTTCCTGGACACTGAGGCGGTTTCTTCTTTTAAGAAGAAATACAGGTAGGTCGCGAAGGGCTTCAGAAAATAAAGCTATAAGAAGCCTCCTTTTTTTTTTAGGATTTCAGTGCTGCTGCTACGATTAAAGGTTTCTTTTATAATGCGATGCTTCGGAACTATTACAAATCTTGTCTTTCAAATGCACACTTTGTGAAGTGTACTTTGTGAAAGATAAAATGTAATTTTTCTTACTTTTATTGTGCTCAGCGTTCGGTGCCCTAATAATGGCTATGCTTAAAGCTTTCCGATTCCCTTTTTAATAGGCCGATTTATTTAATTCCGCCTTTGTTTTTACCTTGGCAAATATCGAAGGGTCGCTTAGTGGAAGCGAATTAATAATGTTCAACCGTAAAATACTTACAGTTGGACTTCAGCGTGACCTTACTCTATTGTTAGGTTTGTTTCGCTGGGAGTTAAACATTTTGAAAAAAAGTAACGTGAGGAGCAATCGGACCTCCCACATTGGCGGTATAAAGACTTCGGAGCATTATGCGTGCCGGTTCCCCCCCCCCATCCTATAAAAATCTCTCTCTGAAGAACAATCCTAAACAAACCCTCACATCACAGTCAGTCAATCCGGCAACGCGTACCGGAGGAAAACCTCAGTTAGCCAACCTAACCAGGACCTCTGTCAAAAAAAAGGGATCCCAAAGCCGATCCCCACAAAAATCCACAGGTAGAATTCCACCCCTTCCCCCTTTTCCGCTACCTGGAGAGAGACCTTCCTGGGAGATGGTCGGACTGGGCTTCTTTCTCCATTGGGTTTAGTTTTCAATATTCGCAGAGCTTTTGCAAGGCTTGCGGAGGGAGCGAAATTGAGGGCGCCGACGATCGGGCCGCCCCGATTCCACCCTTTCTCTCGTCCAAGTTTCCTCGCCCCACTCCTGCCGGTCCGGACTCAACGCGTATCTTTCGCCGGGGCTTTCCGAGCGAACCCGCAAGCGTAGAAACGCGAGCACACATACACACACACACACGCGCGCGCGCGCGCTTTCAACTCCCTCTGCTCTCCCCGCCACCCCAGCCCAGATCTCCGAGATCCACCCGCGCGGCCCCCGCCCCATCCCACCCCACCCCAGCCGGAGCCTTTACCTTCGCTGAGTTTAGGAGTGTCCGCGTCCCGGTTCCTGTCGACGGCGCCCATGTCCAGCTCTCGCACCGGCGATCGCCGTCCCACCCCGCCGCTTCCTCCAGCTCCCCGGGNTGCTCTCCCCGCCACCCCAGCCCAGATCTCCGAGATCCACCCGCGCGGCCCCCGCCCCATCCCACCCCACCCCAGCCGGAGCCTTTACCTTCGCTGAGTTTAGGAGTGTCCGCGTCCCGGTTCCTGTCGACGGCGCCCATGTCCAGCTCTCGCACCGGCGATCGCCGTCCCACCCCGCCGCTTCCTCCAGCTCCCCGGGCCGCCGGGCTGCCGTTCTCCTCGGCGCTGGACTCGTTGGAGCCCCCGGACTCCTTAGTTCCCCTGGCGGGTCCGCTTTCCAGCACCTCCCGGTAGGTGATCAGCTCCTTCTTCTCTTTCACTTTCTGCTCAAACGACTTGGAAACAAAAGCGGTAAGTTCTTCCATCGCCGGCTCTGCTCTGGGCTCTCTTTTTTTTTTCTCTCCCCCTCGTGTGCCTCCTCTGGCTGCTCCGAGCCCCCCAATAAACACATCAAGGGGGTCGGGGAGGAGGGGGAGTGGGAGGAGAAGAAGAAGAAAAAAAAAAGGGGGGGGGGGGGGGGGGGGGAAAGGGAGAGAAAAGGCGCAGAGAGGGGCTGGAGCGTTCAAGGGGAGCGGAGGTTTCCCAACCCGAGCGAAGCTTGTTTCAAAAAAAAAAAACACACACACACACAAAAAACAACAACCGGCTTTGGACAATTCTCCCCGCGAAGAGTGCCGGTCTATCTGGGCTTGGGTGATGGAAGTCCCCGCTATTTATACTTGGCAGAGCCTGCCCCTCGTTCGGAGCAAACAACCTCCCCTTTGGTCCTGGGGATGAACCCCCTTCTCCTGGAGCAGCAGCCCAGGCGCCTCGCCGAAAGAGGGGGAAAAAAAAGCCAGGCGGGGGAGGGGGTGGGGGAGGTGGGGGAGAGCGAGGGAGAAGTTCTCCGTCCCCCCCCCACCCTACCCCGCCCCTCGCCCCCTTTCCAGATCCGGCAGCCGGGGCTTCCTCCCGCGCGCTCTCGCTCTCTCGCCCATTAATCCAGGATTGACAACAAGCCCTAATTAATTTAATTAGGCACGGATCCTGCGCTGGTGTCCCGCGTTAGTTCAACGCCCCCCGGGGGGGGTGGAAGGGGCTGGGTCTGCAGGGGAGGGGCTGAAATGAGGAGCGCTCGGGCGGGAGACGGCCAGAAGGGAAGGAAGGACGAGCGCTTTGGCCCAACGTCTCCTGGAAGCGCTCCGGGCCAACCCCCCTTGCCGGAGGAAGAACTGGCCGAGCCCGAGACGGAGCCTCTCTTGGGTCGGCTCTCCTCCGCCCCAACGCCCGGACCCGCGGCTCTCGATCCCGGGAAGAGGCAGAAGAGCCGTCGGTAGGGCAAGCCCCCCAAAGCAGTGGCTCCCCAGAGAGCCCTGGCCCCGCGGCTTCCCAGCGGCGAGCTTAAGACGGCTGCAATAGTTGTGGCCTATCGGGCCCTTGGAAGGTCGGGGATGGTGGAGAGAAGCAAACAAAAGAAGCGCCTTTTCTGGCAGAATCAGCCCTTCGGGCACCCCCAGTTTTGCCCGGTCCTCTCATTGATGCTCCAACCCTTTTACCTGCCACATTTGCAGCTGGGTTCATTCTCCAGTTAAGTTCACTCTCTTCGGGTTTTCCACAGTCTTTGACACCCGACTGAGCAACTCTGGCCCCTCTCCAGATTGTCACTGCACTAGTTTTACTAGGAAAGAAGTCCACTGTTTGTCTATTTACCTGTCCTCGTTTTGATGATAAAGTGTCATCCAAATCAGGTGTGGTGCTTGGTGAGGTTCAGGAAGGTTTTTTTTTGACAACAGAAGGCAAGACAACTATTGCTTTCTTCACGGCATTTTTCCTACCAGCTTCCCTTTTAGCTTATTGCCTTGGGGTTCCCTGGTGGTCTTCCATCCAAATATTAACCAGATCCCAACCATCTAGCTCAACCTTGCCGAGGCCTTCTTTTTGTTACAGATTATGGTACCAAACAGTCTCAATTTTGGTGGAACCTTTTAACTGGGAGATGTAAGGGGAAAACAGCCATAGTTTTGACTTGCTGGTGCGGTGAGGGCAGAGATTAAAAAAAAAAAAAAGGGGGGGGAATATGGTTTCTAAACTTTGTATAGCTGCAACATGAGTTAATGGGATCATGTGAGAGAATATGGATTTATCATCTATGGATAGGCAATCATTAGATGCAAGCCCACATCCATTTGTTGGTGGGATCAAGTGCCCCTGACACTTTCTTTGTAAAGAAATAGGGAAAGGTCTTATTCCAAATGCTTCCTATGGAGGAGGGGATGAAGGGATGTGAAATTCTCATGGGAGTAAATTGAAAAGATTATGGGAATCATATTGTCCAAAAGGAGGGTTTTTAAAAATTTATTTTTGCATACTCCAGGAACCCTAGGTGCTATCTAAAAGCCAGATTGAAATGCTCATTGCTATTTGGCTCCCATCCCTTGATTAATATTAGTACATTTGGTTGTTTAATACTCAGAATGCAAAGTTTTCCATTTGGATGGAGTAATTCCAAATATTTTCTACATTACTTTATATTGAGATATATATTACCCCTTTTCTTAGATAATTTAATATTATAAGCAACATGTATATTATTGGGAATCAATGTATCCAAATGTGTTTTAGATCTAGGAAGTAAAAGTTAAGCTTTTAAAAACTTTATTAGAAAATTGTCAGAGTATCTTATGCTCTTTTTATGGCTTTCAGTTAAGTCTGTTCATACTCAGATGAAAGTGGTGATTCAGACTCCTAGAAAACCACATAATTATGAGTAATGTCTTCTATAGACTAGACAGAAATTGTAAAAACAATATGAATATGATTCTAATTGGAAAATAGAAATATTAACTCTGGAATAAGGGCATCTCTTGAAAATCACCATCTATTCAAGTTCAAAGAAATCTTGAGAAATGAATGCAGGCTCCGGATATCAATTCTTATAAAAGCTTCCTATACTAAATTATTTTTAAACTAATCTTGATGTTTCCTTCTTTTGCAGTGACAATGACAGAATTTAATTCAAGTTTCCTACATCTGCAGAAAAGCTCTAGTGTACATTCCTTCACTGCATTAAATAAAAGTAATATATAGAGACAACTTTCCAGTAAAGTGACTCTGACAGCGTGATTTAATTACTGAATGAAAATAAATAGGCTTCTTTTTGAAAAAAAACTCTATGAATTAATGTGTTAATTTAAAATTATTTTTAAATAAATAAAAAAAGATATGCATTTGACTTCAAAATAAATCCCACTGTGTCCAGTGAATTGAGTTTATACAAAAATTACAGATGTCACATTGGTGAGAGCTAGAAATTTCTGTTTTACATTAGTAAAATTGCAAAATAACCTTTCCACTGAGGGCACACAATTAAGAATTAAAAAGGAAATGCTTCCAATCTATTCAGTTGAATATATGTAGGAATAGTTCTGACTTGGACATTAAGGTGTAAACATAGATATCCAATTTAGTAATCAACTGTTGTGTGTTTAGTGAGTGTTACTTCAGATAAGCATGTATACAGGTGTAGCATTGCAGTGCAATTTTAGCTATGTTCACCAAGAGTGGATATTTAGTTCCCGGGACTTATTCCCAGAGAAATGAATACAGGAATGCCACTTGAATCTGAAGCTGTATAACATTTCCTTATTGTGTATCATAATACTTAAATACTTCACTTCTGAGTATACCTATGCAGTGTAAATTAACTATTGTCAGAAACAGAAATAGTGAGTTTGCTTTTCTGTAAATCCAAATCAGTTGAGTGTGAAATGTACAAACATGGTTAGGATCACAACCAAAATCTGAAAACGGATTTGTGGCTGTCAATGTTTAAACCTGAACCCTTGACATTTGAACATGGATTGATCTGCATTTAATGTGAATAGTTTATTTCCAAGATCATGATTGGTGGGAGGAGGTAGTGGTGGACCAAAGAGCAAAAAACCAAGACCACCATTGTCCTCTTGAATAAGCTGAAATGCTATGAATGAACAGCTGTATCCCATATGTCCCAAGCCGAGAAGCCACTTAGAGTAAACAGTACTCAGTGGAAAAAAAGCATCTCATTTTTATGCCAAATAATGTTTTGTTTTGCAGAAGTGGTCTGCAGTGTGGGTGACAGTATGTGTGAGCTGTTTTAATTGCTCTTGATTTAAATGAAAACCGATAAATTTCATTGTTATTTTCTCCAATTGAGCTTTTAACTTCCCCTCCTTTACCAATAATCTCAACCAACCTTAAAATACTCTTCAACTGGAAAACTAATTTGTACCCAAGCTCCGAAAACCCATCATTTCCACTGTAGAAAAACTGCAGCCTCTTAAAAGCAGTTTGCAGATTAAATCATTGCCATTTTAATCATAGCGCAGTTTATAAAGACAGAACTTTGCGATTTATTCGGGATTTTTTCTTCTTCTAGATGTGACGCATGGGCGCAGAAAGATCGGGCATAAAGAAAGGCCATACAAAAAAAAACCCCCACCATCAACCGGAGTATACAAAATAAAAACAAAAACACCCTGATACTGACATTAATTAAAATTAAAAATGTGTAATTTGATTGTAGGGGGTTTTTTTGGGTGGGGGGGGAAGAAAAGAAAAAGCAACGTCGCAAAGCCAAACGTCCGCGCCACCAGCGGAGACGGCGGCCTTTCAATCGATTACCTCTACGCTCCTCGCCTGGGCACGTGGATGGATGAGCGTTGGGATGGTTTAGTAAGGTCTGGCTGGCGGCCTGGCGGAGGAAGGCGCTGAGCTCAAACTACGGAAGCTCGGCAGCGCCGGGGCCTTCGGCGCGCTCGCGGGCGCCTCAGGTAAATGGGCTCGGGTTGGGGGGAGTACAGTTGCCGTGGGGCTCCGGGAAGAGGCGGAGAATTAGGGGAGCTTTAAAAAAATAAATAAATAATAAAAAAAAGCCGGTAGCGCCTCATATTCTGGTTTTCGGGAGTAGGAGGCAAAATCCGGTCTAGAAGCCTGGAAGCCAATGCCCGGAGCCTTGGCGGTTTGGGCCGCCCCTTCTCCTCGAGCGAGGAAACCCTCTGGGTTGGTGGTAGCCTCGTTCCGGTGTTTCCTTCGGCTCCCCGGCTTTCCTCCGTCAGCAAAGGCGACGGAGAGAGTTTGCCGGGGCAGGGGGGATGCTGTGGTCACTTCGCTCCGAAGCCCTCTTGGCAGGAAGGGTGGCCCAGAGCCGTCTTTGCTTTCAAAGCAGCGAGCCGGTCTGAGATGTTCAGTCTGAATTGGACTGTAGCCTGCGCCCCCCCCCCCTTCGCCAGAGGCCAACCCAACTCATCTAGGGTTGCCAGGTCTGCTTCCCAAAAATAGCGGACAAGCGGGGGGGGGGTTTAAGTAGTAAAAAAAGTAGACTGTACAGCTTTAGATTACGTACCATTTCATCATAAAGCTTTTGAATAAAAAAAATGTCCACTATTTTGTGAAAAATAATAGTGAACATAATGTGAAAAAAGTGGACTGTCCGCTCAAATAGTGGACACCTGGCAGCCCTAAACTCATCTGGGGTCTGGTTTGGGGAAGGGGAGGAACGGTTGGTGTGAGGTCTGTAAGGCAGGAGTAACCATCCTCCCGTGCCATTTAAAACCTTTTGAAGAACCACCATCCCTTTCTGTTTCCCATGCCTTGGCCTTCATTCCCCCCCCCCCCCCGCCATTTTATGCGAAAGGTACAGTCATCAGTAAACAGATATTGTCTTTTCTCTGCTCAAAGGCCTCAATTTAGCCATTTCAGAAAATTCCATCATCTTCACCAACCATTGTGGGTTATGCACAAAGATGGAACCTTTCCATCTTTGTGCATACAAAAGGTGTCTCTGCAGTTATCCCGTACTGTATAAAAACAAAGTTTCATGACTTTTTTTTCCAACAGTTTGTCCATCAATCCCAAAAGAAAGACTTCTGGCCTCAATTTTCTATTACCGGTATTTTTTTTCTATTCAAAATCCACTGAATCAGTATGTTTTTTACGGGTGTGTTTTTAGAACAGGCCTGTTATTTAATTCGTAAAATTTTGTTTGATAAATAAATAATAGCACCAAAAATCATAGCGGACAAGTGGCGGGACTCAGGGCGTTCCCTCTATCCCGCCATATATTTAAATTATTTATTTATTTACACACAAACTTAGGTTTTAAAAGAGCGAAAAAATGAACAGGTAGTCGATACCTAATATTATACATGTAAAGTTAGGAAAGTTGGTGTAATTTTTCCATTGTTCCATCTGTACATTATAACCAAACTTTTTAGACCACTTTATTGTACACTTTCACTTATTCTTCTGTTTCTAATTTCAAAATTTTAGCAATTACATATACCCCATTTGCACATAATTCTATTTCATTCTAGAGTGTTCAAAAACCGCAAACTCTTTTGTCTACTTTAAATCTTTATAATAACTTTAGATACAAAAAAAATTGGCAGTTATTTATTTCTGTCACCAATTCTTCCTGATTTTTTTTTTTGTATCCCTCTTAACAAAATTCTAGTATATCGGGATAAGCTACCCATTTGGGTTTCTCTATTATTTCTTGTCTATAAAATGTTTCTTGTACTGACAGTTACAAAGGTGTTTTGGGGCACAACCTGGGTTTATGCCTGTTTCATATTCTCAGTATGACATGTCTACCCTAATGATTTTTAAAGTCCACGTTAATTTTGGCTTTGTCGTATCACAAAGATCTGTGCCATGTAATCAGGTCAAGTTCTAACTCAAAGAACCTTCTATTTCTGAGCAGCACCAACCAAACAAAACCAAACAGCAAGCTGCCAAATACAATTTCAAATCAGGTAGACCCAACCCTCCTCTTTCCTTTGTACGTGTAACATTCACAACACGCTTGTGGGTTTTTTCCCCTGCCACACAAATGTAGATGTATTTACACATTTTTATTAATGCACCAAATTCTTTTAGTTTTCCCAGTAATGTTTCAGTTCTTTTTTGTACCTCATAAAGTTTTGCTAGAACTGCATTAACAATTATTTTGCTTTCTGTGAAATATAAATTGGTCTATCCATTTTATAAAGTTCTGTTGAGCTTAATAAGATTTAAGTATGCAAGTTTGCATTCTAAGATTATTTAGTTTATTTCTTTTTTTTTTAAAAAAAAGGTTACATAAAGCATTGTGTCTTTTCCAGTAGTGAAAAAGTTTGCATGATTATATTTTGGAGAACAGTGTTACTTATGTAGTAACAGTAGATAGTAGGTAAGATTTTGCTTTAAATTAAAGACCAGAGTGAAAATTTAATAATGATATACTTTTCTGTTAATCATACAATACTTTTTAATGTTTACAGTTCTCTACTTTTTGTAAAAACTAGCTTGCTAAAATGGGTCGCCATTCATCAGACACTGAAGAAGAGTCTAAAAGCAGAAGAAAAAAGAAACATCGTAGAAGGTCATCTTCAAGCAGTTCCTCAGATAGTAGAAGTTACAGCCATAAAAAATCGGGAAGAAAATCAAGATCACGGTCTCGAGATCTCCAGTTTCGTTCACATTCATATGAAAAAAAGTAAATATATTACTTCAGTTTTAAATTTGTAAATGAAACTTTTAAAATATTCATCATAAAATTGTAAATGAAACTTTTAAAATATTCAGTATTTTATCCTATGATATGATCTCCTAAATAATGATACATAAATTGTAGCATTCATATAACTTATTTGTGCCAGTTTATATAATTTGCCTAATTATTGTTTTAACAAATGGCATCATTTTAGAGAAAGAAGCAATACCATACAGGTTGTTCTTGCTTACCAATCACTCATTCAGCAACCATTCAGTTATTATGTCACTGAATAATAAGACTTACAGTACAATCAGTCCTTGAAATTGTGGCCCTTGCAGCCTCTCTATGGTCACATGATGGTGCATTGGAAGATCTGCAAGAAATACCCTTTGCCTGTAAGCAAGAACTGATGGGATAGAGAAAGTAATGGTACCTTTAACATCATCAAACATCAATATCTGCCTATCCCAGGTCCTTGGGAAAGACTTGATAGGAGGAAAGAAATGCCAAATCCAGTGTAAACATCTGATTGACTGTGCAATTATAATTTATTAAATTTATATGCTGCCCAACTGCCAGTGGCTCCGGGCACTGTTAAAACGTTTAAAAAGAAAGAACAGTGCAAAAACCATAAAAACCAGTACACAGACAAAGGTTCTTGTGGAAAATTTGTGATTTATTTTACTCAAATTGCAGCAAGAAAATGTTTATCATCCCATGTTCTCTCTATTTCCAGAATGATTTTATCAGTAATAAAATTTTGATTTTATATCCTAGAGTGGTGTGTATGTGTGTGTGTGCACGCACACACACACATGTATATAATTTTTTTATTGCTATCCAATTTCCTTTGCTCCATATTTTATCAAAAGTCTACTAATATGCCTACAGTAGCATATTTTCTTCTATTACAGCTCTGATGTTCTAGGAGTGAGTAGTACATGTACATACTGACTTTGTTAACGCTATTCTTCAATCTGAAGTTTATCTGTCTATAGTATATACTTTGGAGGAACAATTTGACTCTGAAGCCACATTATATTCTTCATATGAAGCATTGATAAAAGTGGTATGAGTCACAGTGGAGAATAGTTTTATGTTATACAGTGACATAAATGAATTAATATTCATTGATTCCGTTTTAATTAGATCTACATTTTTAAGTTTTGAGGAAAGGTTTTACTACAAAGTTTTAACAGATGTTATTAAACTTTTAATGTCAGTTTTTTTTCTTTTTCTTTAGTTAAAATCTAATATCCATGAAATGTGCATATTTTTTCCATAGAGGTCCATGTTCAACCTGAAAATTTTGTTATCAGTAGCATCTTATTGCCAGTAAGTGGCCAAGAAGACAACTACAATACAGACAATGCTACATCCCTACATTGTTACTGCAACAGAATATGCTATATGAGTTTCAAATATATATTTCTTGAGAATATATTGATTGAAACACTTTATAGATCATGCATATCCTTCAAGCCTGAGATGTATTAAAGGGAAAAAAATCTTACATTTGTTTTTGTTTTACTTGTAAGTGGGTTTATATGTTAATTTTATATAATAAAATACTTGAACACAGGTCAGAATATGTGAAAAATGAGAAAAAGCATTGTTTGATGCTCACGTTTGCTCTGTTAATATGTACAGCAAAGTTGCTGTTTTTTCACCGAGGGTATTTGCAAAGCTTATGGCTTGCTCTGCTGAGTTAGGTTGTGAGGGAGCATATTCAGACCCCTGCTGCTGTCTCTGGAGATTATCACACAAAGTTTGATGATTTTGTCTGCCTTTAATAATTTTTGCAAATAAAATATCTCACATTTAGGCCAGTCTGGATGCTTGCACTGATAACTTTGAATGGTTAGATTACGTTACTTTTAGTTTGTGGCATCCAAGAACATACAGAAGCTGATGTAGACAGTGCATTCTATTGCTTGTCTTCTTGATCCCCTGCACAAGCTTGAAAGGATTGGCTTGAAACCTTGAGCCCAGAAGTTATAGTCAGGCTTGCAAGTTGCAGTCGATCTGATCTCCCTTGCTAGCTGGGAGGACAGGAAATGAGGGTAGCAAGCTCCAACTGATTTGCATGTGCTACAGCCAGCCAAATCTTCCCCTTGGGTGGATGAGTGACTGTAGGGACCCAGCGGGGCCACATGGGTAGCGTTCTTGTAGTCGGTCGTAAGGGTGAATAACTGTGGGGTGCTGCAGCAGCCTTAACTTTGAGTGTATCTTAAGTATCTTTTAGGGGTTCTGTCATAAGTTGAAATGGGTGCTAAGTGACCAGTTGTAAATCAA